CCGCCCGCGTCCGCGGCCCCACGTGCGCGCCGGCCCGAAATGCTGCGGCAGCGTCGGCGGCAGCGGCAAGTCGTCGAAGCCGGCCGCCTCCTCTCGCAGCCCGTCCAGCAGCGCCGCGTCGCCCTCCCCTGAGCTGTCCTCCGCGCCGCGCCGCCGCAGCTCCTCGGCCCTGTGGCCCGTGGCCAGCCCCAGCTCTTCTCTGGACCACCCCAGCCGAGACAGCTCCCAATCCGACAGGCCCATGCCCTCGCCGCCGCCGGCGCTGCGGGCGCGGGTGAGGAGGTTGAGGCGGTCGTCGGGGAAGGGCTGCTTGCCCTGCGAACCCCTGCCTTGCTGCTGCTGCTGCTGCTGCTGCCACTGTTGCTGCTGCTGCCATTGCTGCCAATGCTGCCACTGCTGCCATTGCTGCTGCTGCCATTGCTGCTGCAGCATCTGCTGCTGCCGCTGTTGCCACTGCTGCTGGTCCTGCTGCTGCTGCCCTGAGTGACCCCACCGCTGGCTGCGCTGCTGCATCAGCACGAGCTGCTGCTCCTGCAACAGCCACGCCTGCAACTGCTGCTGCAGCCACGCGTGCTGCTGGCCCCAGCTCATGGACTGCCGCTGCTGCATCAGCATCAGCTGCTGCTGCCACTGCTGCTGCTGAAGCTGCAGCGCCTGCGCGCCCTGCCCCTCCTTTTGCTGGCTGGATTGCGGCGCGCCGCGCCGGCTGCCGTCGGCCATGGAAGGCCAAGAGTGGGAACGGTGTGCGCCATACCCGCCGCCACGGCCCCCTTCAAACTGAATCACGCCTGGCAGCGCCGGCGGCGGTTGGGCGGCGTGAGGGATGAGGGACGCAGGGCGACGCAGGGCGGCGCCGGGTGCGGCTGGCCGCGATGTCGCAGGGGCGACCCAAGGCCACGGTGGCAGGGGGTGCCATGTGGCTTGCAGCCGGGCCTTCGGCTTGACAACATGTGCACGCGACGGACCCCGAGCTCCAGGGGCAACCATGACCCACCCACTCGCCGCTGCCGCAGCGCGCCAAACCCCTCCATTGAAGGTCCCCCCTGACACCTCAACTTCGTCCCCTTCCATGGCGACTGTATTCCCTGCTCTAACAGACACGCCGCCCCGGCACACATCCCTCAAACTCCCCAAACCTGCAGCGCATTGCGCGAAGGCACAGGCGAAACCCCCAACCGACGCGCGCGCGCGCACGCACGTGGGCGGACGCACATGACGTCACCCCTCCCACCTGACAGGTCTCTCCGCTGATGCATCATGCAGTCCAGCTCCCCCCGCGCCACAAACTCGTAGACCGGGCTGTGCGGCGCCAGATTCAGGTCGCCCATCAGCAGCAGCGCCACCGGCGCCGCGGCGGGCTCGTGCCGCGCCTCGCATCCCCCGTCGTCGCCGCCGCCGCCGCCGTCGGCGGCCCCGCCGGCGCGCGCGAGCCGCGCGAGCGCCGCGGCCAGCAGCCGCAGCTGCCCGAGCTTAATGTCGCCGCGCTTGGGGTTGAACAGGACGTGCGTGTTGGCGACCGCGACCAGCGGCGGCGCGGCGCCGGCGGCCAGCGCGTCCGTGCCCGGCGAGGACACGCGCCGGCGCTTCGTCGGGCTGCGGCGGCCGCCGCCGCCGCCGTTTGCAGGCGCCGCGGCGGTTGGTTGGTCGCGCGGCTTCACAGCCAGGAGGGCCAGGGCGGCCACATTGTCCCGCAGCCCAAAATCCTGAAGGGAAGGCGCATAGACGCGCGCGGGCCGAGGGTCGATAGCAGCGAGTGGACGCCTGGGCGGCGGCCCGTTCCATCGGCACCCGTCGAGGGCTCCTTGCCTCGCCTGGAATTGTTCGCGGAGCAGCCCCCAGAACAACCCGCAGCAGGTGCGGCGGCCGCACAGGACTCTGGCAGGCAATCCGAGCGGCGCGTGGCGGCGCTGCTGCGCTGCTTCTGCGGCCGCGCTCGCCTGGAAACGAAGGGACTCCAGGGCGCGTGCCTCGAGGAGGGACGCGCGCCTGCGGTAGTCCCGGGGGCGCGTCGCATCGATGAAGGGTTGGGGTTCCGGGTTGCATGGGAACCCAAGGGCCGTACATGTAATGCACCACGGCGGATGAGCAGCGGACCCTCTAAAGACGCGAGCCCTTCTGAAGGCGGACCCGGCCTGGTGGCGCTGACGTGGCGCGCGCGGCCCCCTGCCCGAAATCACGGCCATCACCAGAAGGTTGCGCAGCCGTCGGGCCTGTCGCCAGTCCGCTGGACGTAGGTGCCTTCGTACCTGAGATGTTTGTGTGATAGCATGATTGCATGTGTATGGTGTGTGTTTGCGTGGGTGTGTGCGTGCACGCGCATGTGTGCTTGCATGCAAGTGGGGGAGGGAGCCAGCGTGTCGGCACACATGTGCGTGTCATGCGAATGCTGGGCACACTCGAACCCTGCCCATGCGCCTAGCACCACCTCCCTCACCCAGTCCACGCCAGTAACCACACGTTCTCGCTGCACCCAGCCTACAGGATATCAGTCTGCTCAACCCCAACCCCAACCCCAGGCGACTGAATCTCCTGACCCCAACCCCAGGCCTCGTCGCGCTCCATTATCTTCGCCCTCAACAGCTGCCCGCTGCCCACTGCCCTCTCAAGCCCAGAAAACCTGAAAGCCAAGCAAACATGCGAGCCCAGCACACATTGGGGGGTTGGCCTCACCCTCCCCCTCACCCGAGGGCCCGCAGGGCGGCCTGCACCTCCCCCCAGCGGTCAACCTCCTGCAGGCACAGCACGTCAGGAGACAGCGCCTCGATCTCCTGGGGGGTGTGTGTGTGTGTTTGCGGTGTGTGTGAGTGTTTGCGGTGCGTTTGTGTTTGTGTTTGTGTGTGCTTTTGTGGTGTGTGTGTGTGTGTGTGTGTGTGTGTGTGTGGAGCGGGGCGGGAGGGGCAGGGGGACTTCTGGCGCGCATGGATGGGCCGGGCCGTCTATGCCGTGGCGCCGCATCGCGTGGTGGTGCTGCGGCCCCCGGCGCAGGCTTGTCGGCGACTGGGCGCGCCAGGGCGCGGAGCAGGCGCGCGTCTGGTGGTATGCATGCGCGCACCGCATCCCCCTCGTGTTCTGGGCGGCCTGCCTCCCACAGACCTGCAGCATGAGCGCCCATCTCGGGCCCCACTCCAGGTCGCGTGGGCTGCAGCTGGGGTAGAGCTCCCTCGCGTGCTCGTGGGCCTGTGCGGGTTGCCAGGGCAGGTTTCAGACAATGTCGCGGCGTGAACCCTCGTTTCGCTGCACCAGCCGCACCTGCGGCCCGCCGTATCCATCAATGATGGGGCCCTTGGTGACGCATTAGGGCGGGGCTGGGCAATGGGAGGAGGCCAGCATCCCTGTTGCCCACTCCTGGATCCTTTGGCAGCGTCCGACGGCCTCATCAGATGCACTTGGTCCCCAGCACGAAGGTCTGCCTGGGCCCCTTGCATGCTTGTGACGGGTGAATGGAAGCTGCCGCCCGCTGCTAGTAGCCCGCGGTGGGGCCGCCCAGCCCAACCCACCAGGGCGTCCGCGAGCAAATTGTAGCTCATCACGCGCAGCCGCACCCCATCGCCAGCGCCCCCGTCCGCCGCGGGCGCCTGCGAGAGGGCGGGCCACGCAGAGGCGGCTGCCGCCCTGTCAGGCGTGAGGGACACACTGGGCATGCAGGCGCCGCCCCTTGGCGCAGCGTGTCTCGCGGTGCACACTGAAATATCTTCAAGGCACCCGCACATAGTAATGTGTGGGTGTCTCGCATGTGCCAGCGAGGTGCAGCAGGCAAGGTTGTGTGCAGAGTCGCAATCCCTCCGCCCCACCTCCTTGGACGCCATCCAGTGGCGCGATAGGTTGACAGAGGATGGCCGCCGCCGCGCGCCGCCGCCGCCGCCGCCGCCGCCACCACCACCATCGCCGCCGGCGGGGCGGTTGCCGCCTGAGACTGGGTCCTGCCCATGCTGCTGCGCGCCCCAGCCCTGTCCCGCCCCCTGCATCTGGGATGGCCAGCGCGTCCCCAACGAGATGGGGGCGCACTGCAAATCAGGGGTAGTGGGCGGCGCGGCTCGCGCTACTTGCTGCTGTTCCTGCTCCTGCTGCTGCTGCTGCTGCTGCTTCTGGCCCTGCTGCTGGGCCTGTACAAGCTGCTGCTGCTGCTGCTGCTGCTGCTGCTGCTGCTGCTGCTGCTGCTGCTGCTGAGGCTGCTGAGGCTTCCATGAGGATGGCAGACCTTGCGACTGCACCGGGGCACCAGCAAATGGCAACGGCGGCAGCGGGGGCCACACACCCGCTTTCGGCCTTGTCAGCACCACCGACTGCGTGTGCTGCGCCCATGGCTGCTGCCCAAGCTGATGGTTGGCCTGCCATGCCTGCATAGAGGCCGCCGCCGCTGCCTGCACGCCCGTGCCGGCCGCCGCCGGCAGGCCCGCCAGCGCAGCGCCCACAGCGCCAGCCGCTGCAGTCTGCGCCGATCGCCGCCCAGCCGCGTATGATTCTCGCAAGCCGGCAGGGTGCTGGAACTGGCAGGCTGCGCCCAGCTGGCAGCCGCCTGTGCGCAAGAATGTCAGGCACACGCCGGCCATCTGCCGGGCGTGCCGTTGGAGCAGCACCGTCTGCGTCGCTGCGGCGTCGTCGGCGCGCGGTGCTGCGGCTGTCCTTGCGCACTTGCTGAGGGGTCACCACAGCACTGGTTCGAGCAGGTTTGATATGAAGGGTTCACGGGAGCTCTAGCTCTGCCATCACACACCGAGGACGAGGGTTCGCGCTGTGTAGATGGAAGAAAGTCGCGTGTCTCATGAATGTGAATTTCTGATGAAAGGGATGCGTACTGGTCATCATATATGCCCCGCATCAAGAAGCACTGCAAGGATCACCCTTATGATACAAACAGCCTCAGATCCAGCACTGCATGCGTGCTGGACTCCATCTGCACCCGCTGTCCTGCAGTCGTTTTCGCAACACACGAGAGGATTTAAAACTTAGGGTGATTCTGGCTGTTGTCCCCTGCAGAACCAAAGTCAGGTGCACCTTGTACGGACTGTGGTCAAGCTTGGTCAACAGCCTCGCAGTCCCGGCACTGCGATTGCAGCACATCGGGGCCTTACCCTACTGTTACACACCTCATAAGGCCCCTACCAGTAACAAGGGCGTGACCTGGACATCTGCCTGCCACGCTCGCCTCCTTGCGGAACACCCCTGCTAGTTAGTGTGTCATTGCTGCCGGCAGTCAAGGGCGGTTGCACCTGCACGTGCTAGCAGCATCTGGCCGCACTGGGCTTGGTGCAGCCCCCACGTATGACACCGTGAAACCGCATGTGGTGAATCCTCAGTAGCAGTTCACGTTTGTTCCGCTGGTGGGACAACACGGAACACAAATGCTTAGTCACGCCAAAAACGGCGCTGCAACTGGGACTTGAGCAGGCGCTTGACAGCCATGAGTAGTGTTGGCTATTTGCCTGCTGAATGTGTCTGGTTCTGTGGGTGATGGGCCTGCTGGGTGCTCATCAGCTCCCTCAAAACGTGGCTGGTCAACTTGTTGAATACTGGTGTTCATGATCGTGCCTTCGCCCTGACAGGGCGCCGGCCCACGCACAGGGAGCCTACAGCCAGAACTTGAGAGACACAGGCTGCACATATGATGAATGAGTATTGTACACACATGTGCGCAATGTACATCTTCCTTTGTTTTTGGTCGGCAGAACAGCTGGCAGTGAGGACAATGCGCTCAACAATCTGGCCACAGGGGTGGGGTGTGGCCCTTTCTCACGCTGAGTCGGCGGCTGGGCAGCCAATTTTGTTAGAGGGTGGCGAGCCATTGAGCAAATGCTGTGGCCGTTCTAGCAGCACTGTGCAACGATGTACTTTTATCCTTGCCAGCCCTCTGCGCTGATCTGTTAGGTGACAGAATTCACGCCACGCGTGATTCTCACTCTTGTGCAAACGGACGAACGGATGCGATAGAGAGCTCGCGCTGGGCCTTTGTCCGCTACCAGACGGTAGTGTCAGGCTGTGTGGAGCGGTGGAACGCCCTTTCGCGGGGTGGTCGCCCCTTGCATTCGTTTAGAACGTCTCGCGAAACATGGTGAGGCCCCCACATCTGGGCACATGCGGCCATGGCGCGCCAGGGCCGGTGTGCTGCGGCGCCACTTCGTACGCCCGGCTGGCAAGGCGTTGGTACACAGGTGCCGCCGCTGCCGCGCCCGCCGCTCCGTGCCCCCTAGGGTGCCTACCTCGCCGTGCCCGTCACGTCCAAGGAGCGCTTCGAAGGCCAGGGGCTCCTGAGGAACCAAGATGAGGCATTGCAGCTGGTGTATGGCGGCGCGGCCATGCAGGGGTGGCGCCGCACCATGGAGGACGCCCACATTGCACAGACGGGACTCGATCAAGACACAGGTGAATGTCCGCAGGGGCATGGTGCCTGGTTCGGACCGCACCCCAGGTCCCTTAGGCTTTGCGCCGGGTGTGCTGCGCTTCTGGAATCCCTGTTGCCCGGCCTGCCGAGCAGCACCGCCGCCCTGCGGCGGTTGGGGCCGAAAGCAAGCAGGGCGGCCGCTTCGCGGAGACTCGCTCGCATGTTGGAACCCCATACTCCTGCAATCCACTGCTGGCGCACACCTCGCTGGCGGTGGCCGTCATGACGCTGGCGCCAACACGCAAGTGCTCGCATGCAAGTCGCATGCGTGTGTGCCCGCGAAACCGCTCGCGCCCATGCATGCATCCCCCTCAGGCGCCATCTTCGGTGTGTTCGACGGCCACGGAGGGGCGGAGGTCGCCTTGTTCTGCCAGAAATACATGGCCCAAGAGCTCGCCCATATTGTGTCAGCGTCCCCCGCCGCGCCCGCGCCCGCGCCGGCGGCCGGCGCCTCCTCGTCGCCGGCTGCAGCCGAGGAGGCGGTCGCCGCCGTCGAGTCGGCCCTGATCGACGTTTTCCACAGAATGGACGAGATGCTTCGCGACCACTCATTCGCCGACGAGATCGAGCAGCTGCGGGGCGCGCGCGACGCCGCGGCGGAGGACGAAGGAGGGAAGGGGGACGAGGGTGACGGGCTCGCGCCCATGGACGCGCTTGAGATGATCAAGCGCGTGTTTCAGCTGAAGCGCTTCATGGGGGAGAACGGCGCGCAGGGTGAGGACGGCGAGGAGGGGGCCGGCGAGGGCGTGGGCGCAGGCGGCGACGGCGGGCCGGCGGCGATGGAGGCGGACGGGGAGGGGCCCAGCGGGCAGGCGCAGGAGCAGGAGCAGGAGCAAGGGGCCGCGCCGGGCGGCAGTGGCAGTAGCGGCGCGGCGCCCGCCGTGGCGGCGGCGGCGGCGGCGGCGGCCCTGCGGCGGCAGCAGCAGCCGCAGCGGCAGGACGACGCCGGCGGCGGCGGCGGCGGCGGCGCTGCCGAGGCGCGGGCGCGCTTTATAGAGCCGGCCGACACGCGCATCCAGGCGGGCTGCACCGCGGTGGTCGCGGTCATTCGCGCGGGCCACCTCTTCGTGGCCAACGCCGGCGACTCCCGAGGCGTGCTGTGCCGCGCGGGCACCGCGGTGGCCATGTCCGAAGACCATAAGCCGGCGCACGAGACGGAGCGGACGCGCATCCTCAACGCAGGTGCGCCCTGCGGCGGCGGCGGCTGCGGCGGCGGGCGTCCCTGCGCCGGCGGGCGGCGCGCGCACGATTTGAGGGCGGGCGGCGCGCAGCGCCTGCCCCCTTCTGCTCGCGATTCCCCACTCTGCAGCAGTCCCCCAAC